CTGCTAAAATGCTGCAAGCATTTATATTAAATATAATTTAATAATAATAAATAATTGTTAATTTGGCACATTAGGAACAAAGATGTAATATATTGCAGCTTGCCAGTTCTTAGGTACCTGCATTAGTTTTCTTTTTTCATGCAGTTTTTCCCATTATTACTACCTGGTGATCCTGCCAGTAACAAACTTCCTCTCCTAGGGTGACAACGCTCACTCACTATACTATTCATGGAAGGGCAGTGTCATAGAAAATACAAGTAGTATATGGATGTGTCCCCTGCACTCCTAACAGCGATTGGACCTGAACAACCATGGTGCCCGCAGTGATAGTCAGGGATGGTGCCGTGTGTATCAAACTTGTAGAAGATGGACATCGCCAGTACTCAAGTAGTCGCATTTAATCCTCATGCTTATTTATTGAAGTGAAACCTCACAAACATGATATAGCTAACATTTCCGGGCCACACAGGGTCCCTTCATCAGGGCAACATAGTGACACCTATGTCACTATGTTGCCCTGATGAAGGGACCCTGTGTAGTCCTGAAACGTTGGCTATATAATTTTTGTGACATTTAACTTCAATAAATAAGCATGAGGATTATATGCTACTATTTGAGTGCTGGCGATCTTCATATTCCTCATAGAAAATACATACTGTAATACTGCAATGTAATACTGCATTATGGCCACCAGATGGCGATGAGGAGCATAGGGAATAAGAATTTATTTTCTATGCTCAATCTAGTGGTCATATTACAATAACACATTACATTCAACCTGAAAAAAGAAATGTATTTATTTTATATGCTCCTCAGCTCCATCTAGTGGCCATATTACAATGACACATTACATTCAACCTGAAAAATAAATGTATTTATTTTATATGCTCCTTAGCTCCATCTAGTGGCCATCATGCAGTATAACATCAAATTACATTCAACCTGAAAATAAAATATGCTATGAACTCTGGTTTTGCCTTTATGTTTACAGAATGAGCATTCACAGATATGTAAAGTGATACATAAAGGCTGAGACTATACTAGCAATACGTTTCTTGTGACTACTGAAGCCAGGACTCCAGACCTGTAATAAAGGAATGGTAACCACTTAATTTCAGGAATGTATTTTGATGTCACTGGACTGCAGAGCTCATCATCACAACACTCTGTTGAAATCTTTCAGCCACATACTTTTTTTTTTATATATATACAATGTTAGGAAGGGTTAAAACGTTTTTTCTTGCTGACTATGTTCCTTTTGATTAGACTCCATGTCCTGTTTACAACACCGGAAGTCACCCAAATAGGACAAAGACAGCAAGAAAAACCTGATAGTGGTTTTCACACTTTTCCACTCTATTAAAAAAAAAATGTTTTTGCTTTTGAGATTTAGTCTTCCAATACTATTCCATGCTCACATTTATTTATATAGTGCCGACGATTGAAGCAGTGCTTTACACATCAGTCCCTGCCCATGAGGAGCTTACAATCTATGGTCCCTATCTCACATACCTACAAGGACCGATTTAGAAAGTAGCCAATTAACCTTCCAGCATGTCTTTGGAGTGTGGGTAGAAACCTGAGGAAACTCACACAAGCACAGGGAGGACATGCAAACACCTTGCAGATAGTGACCTGACCAGGATTCAATCCAGGAACCCAAGTACTGCAAGGCAGAAGTGTTAACCACTAAGCCACTGTGCTGCCCATTTCCAATCATCTATCCATTTATCAATGAGATGCTGATATCAATACATGAGCAATGTCCTGTACAGCCATGTGTATTTCACTGGTTCTCCTGTATGTTAATAAAGACAAGTCTTTTTATATTTTTTTGTTACTGTACAATTACAAGTTGATTTCTTTATAGCCCAGTAAACACTAAACATGTAAAGGCTCAAAAAATATGTTTCATTTCAGACCAGATTTCTTTTTTTTCCCGGATTTCGGATCCGACTTATCATTTGGTTCATTATTCGAATTTCAAATTGATTTAGAATTTTTGGGTTTTGGCTCAGATTGATCTGAACTTTTTGTTTTTTTGGTTCGACTCGATTCTATTTTTTTGTTTTTTCGGTTCAGATAAATCCACATTTTTCGGCTTTGGTTCGGATTCATTCAGATGGGGTTCTTTCATTAAAAATGATTCGAATAAATGTTTTTGGTCAATTAGTTCTGTACTGGTCATCTTAGTCTGTACTAGTCCTCTCAGTCTGTACTGGTCCTCTTAGTCCATACTGGTCCTCTTAGTCCATACTGGTCCTCTTAGTCCATACTGGTCCTCATAGTCCATACTAGTCCTCATAGTCCATACTGGTCCTCATAGTCCATACTGGTCCTCATAGTCCATACTGGTCATCTTAGTCTGTACTAGTCCTCTCAGTCTGTACTGGTCCTCTTAGTCCATACTGGTCCTCTTAGTCCATACTGGTCCTCATAGTCCATACTGATCCTCATAGTCCATACTGGTCATCTTATTCTGTACTAGTCCTCATAGACCCCGTTCACATTGAGCGATTTATCGCGCGGTAATACCCGCGATATCGCGGCAAATTACCGCACGATATCGCGCTCCAATGCAATCCAATGGGGCAAAGGGTCCTGCTGTCGCGGGTCGTGTGTCGCTACAGCAGGACCCTTTTTGGAGCGGATCTAGCCGCGATTCAAGCTTGCTCAATGCAAGCTTGAACACGACATCGCACGGCAAATTTCGCGATGTCGCGCAATATGCAAATCGTGCGACAAACGCGCGATTTGCATATCGCGCAGTGGGAACGGGGCCTCAGTCTGTACTCATCATCTTAGTCCGTACTGGTCCTCTTAGTCTGTACTGGTACTCTTAGTCTGTACTGGTCATCTTAGTCCGTTCAGGTCCTCTTGGTCCATAATAGTCATCTTAGTCCATACCGGTCATTTTACTCCGTACTGGTCATTTTATTCCATACTGGTCATTTTATTCCATACTGGTTATCTTAGTCCGTACTGGTCATCTTAGTCCGTACTGGTCATCATAGTCCATACTGGTCATCTTTGTCCATACTGGTCATCTTTGTCCATACTGGTCATCTTTGTCCATACTGGTCATCTTTGTCCATACTGGTCATCTTAGTCTATACTGGTCATCATAGTCCGTACTGGTCATCTTTGTCCGTACTAGTCATCTTTGTCCATACTGGTCATCATAGTCCATACTGGTCATCTTTGTCCATACTGGTCATCTTTGTCCATACTGGTCATCTTTGTCCATACTGGTCATCTTTGTCCATACTGGTCATCATAGTCCATACTGGTCATCATAGTCCATACTGGTCCTCTTTGTCCGTACTGGTCATCTTTGTCCGTACTAGTCATCTTTGTCCATACTGGTCATCTTTGTCCGTACTAGTCAACTTTGTCTGTACTGGTCAACTTTGTACGTATTGGTCATTTTAGTCTATAATGGTCCTCTTATTCTGTACAGATCCTCTTATTCTGTACAGGTCCTCTTAGTCCATTCTGGTCATCTTAGTCCTTACTGGTCATAAGCATTGGATATTTAGAAATTCAGACGAAATTCGGGGGGGGGGAAATTTTATTTGTTAAAATTTGGATGCATCTGAAAGTTTGGATACATTTGAATTTGAGGTTAAATATACCCGAAACTCAGATCAATTAGAATTCGGAAATTTAGATGAATCTGAATGTCCAAATTTAAATACATTTTTCAGAATTTCAATCCATAACGAAATGAAACTTACATGTCTAGTAAACAAGTCTAGCTGAAATTTAACCCCTTCCCGACCGATTATGGGATTGTTCTGTCACGGTCTTTCAGTTCCTTAATGACCAGTGACGGAATAATCCCATAATGCAGTACAATGAGAGCAGGTCCGTGGAGGGACCAGCCGCTCATTGAGTTAATGCTGTTGTTGGGTCCCTCAATGTTTGAGGCAGACCCTCAACAGTAATTTAGGAGGTCCAAGAACTGTGATGCAGTGATCACAGAGCTGTGACAGCCACTTAGTCGGCGTGCAGCTCATTGTGTTGTGGAGCTGCAAGAAGGTTCAGTGTATTACAAAAGTGAAACTAAGTATCTCTGTGAAGAATACAGTATCTCCTCAGAATACTTAGTATCCAAAGCCCCTGTAAATAAAAAAAGTAACCCTTTAGTGCTCCCTAGTTATAAAAAAAAAACAATTGAAAACAGATGTTTACAATTTTTAACATTTTTAAAACATTTTTAAAAAGGAAAAAAGTTTAAAAAGTCAAAAAATTAAAATAAATACCTTAAATTATATAAAAAATATAATGGGGAGGAGGCTATTAAAAGATAGGAGACAAACACACCACATTCTAAAATTGTTCCACACTAACATTGTATTTCACTCCTTGTATTTCGTGACCTATAACCCTCAAAATAAAGTGAAATCCCAGACATATGCTATACCCTATAAATCAGGACAAATAAAACAATTTATTATGAACTACTTTTTGTTAGCTACACTAATTATTTACACATTATTATTGCCAAAACTGTGAAAATGTTTTTTTGTTTTTAAATGTATTCTATTTTTTTTATTTAAAAAATAAGAATTTCTAGATGCATATGTCACATCAAATTAAAAGCCCATTTTGTCATTTAAAAACGGTATATAACATGTGTAGGTGCAATGAATGAGGAAGATGAAAATTATGGTTAAACAAACACATAGCAAAAATGACAAAATTGCTCCAGTCACCGGGAACGAAAACATTTTCTGAAGCTGTGTCACTAAGGGGTTAAAGGGCACGTCCTCAGTGAAGGCTGTGTAGCTCTTGAAGAAAGTATGTGTGGCCAGCATATATTTTGTTCTAATATAAGGTCATCAGGACAGAAAATCTGAATTTCCCAAGAAGGGAAGGCACATCAATAAAAATCTGAAATAGGTTCTAACTCTTCCTTCTTCTATCCAAATGTAGAACATGTTGGTCCAGAAGTACCAGCCGGTTTTAGAGGTTAGACAAAACACAGGGAGCAGGAAACCTTAAAGTGTAAATGTATATGATTGCTTGGCGATATTATTATTATTTATTTTTTTTGGCATATGAGACTGTGCATGTCTCTTGTGCTAAAAAGCTCCTTTCACTCGCTCCTAGCAATTTTCAAGTGTAAACACTTCCTGAGGAGCATGTGCAGTGTACACCCCCGGCTCCCAGGAACCATGTAACTCCTGCACCCATGCCTCAGTTGCATCAGAGGCAGCCACCCAATGGATGGAGATGAGTGACGTGAGACATGGACGACACTTAGGAGAAGATGGTTGTGCCAGTGGGCAGAGCAGCGAGGGACAGCTTTGATTTGTGAGGTAAGCACAGTTCTGCTTTACCTTTCTAAAAGCCTTATTGTTCTTTTCTCTTTGTTAGCATGCTAGCACCACCTCAAATTCCTATTCCCTGGCAGAATACTGAAGATGAGAACCACAACCACTGCTCCAATCAGCAAGGCTCATGGTCCATACTGTGCTTCAATCAGCAATACTCATGCTCCATACTGTGCTTTACTCTGCAATGCTCATGCTCCATGCTGTGTTCCAATCGGCAATGCTCATGCTCTGTACTGTGATTTACTCTGCAATGCTTATGCTCCATAATGTGATTTATTCTTCAATGCTCATGGTCTATACTGTGCTCCAATCAGCAATGCTCATGCTCCATGCTGTGCTCCAATCAGCAATACTCATGCTCTATACTGTGCTTTACTCTGCAATGCTTATGCTCCATAATGTGATTTATTCTGCAATGCTCAAGGTCCATACTGTGCTCCAATCAGCCATGCTCGTGCGCCATACTATGCTCCAATCGGCAATGCTCATGCTCCATACTGATTGGAGCACAGTTGTCATTACTGTGTAGCGGGAGTGTTGGACCAATGGAGATAGACTGCTCTCACACAGCCGCCCTCATCAAGTGGAGTTTGGGTTGGAAATGAAGCACTAATAAAATAAAAATAAAAACAGTAAGACTTTTAGAAAGTGAACTTTTCCTGCTTCTGAGCTTTGTCTAACCTAAAAAACTGAAGGATACAATTGGGCTTTAAGCTCAGTGGACATGTGAAGTTACCAGCAATGTTACTTTGGACAAAGTCCCTATTTTTTCTTTGCACTGCTTGTAACCTCAATATTTTTTTCCTCTCTCGTGCTCCTCTAATGCTCGTGTTTTTCCTCTCACAGGTCAATGCAGTGTAGAAACCGTAAGGGTCTGGCAGTAGGATGTCTAATTGTTATCTCTACCGTGTCTGGCGTAATCGCACTCATACTCAGCCTGGTGGACATCCAAACTGTGTATCAGCCATCACCTAACAAGGTAAGAGGACTCACCAGGGAAGACAAAGGAGTGACAGCTAAACATGGCATAAGAAATAAAGGCAGATCATAAAACAATTCACCAGAAAAGGTGATAAAGTAGATATGAATCCAGTACAATAAGGAATTGTGACAGACGGATGGTCCGTCATTGTATAAAGATGGAGATAATAAGGAGAAGAGCATGTTTCAGCAATGAAAAGATCCATAAACATATGTGAGACTGATTGGAGATGGATGGGTGTTGCCCACAAAAGAAAGTATCCTCCATTCAGTCAGTGCCCTCTCCTCAGGAGTCCGATTGACTTTAGGAGCAATGTATGTGCAGATAAGCAAGGAGCACTTGTCCAGGCCTACATAACACTACAGACAAGGACTGTGACCCAACCAACACCTCAAAGAAATTCAGTCTGGGCTGAAGCAGACCAGATAGCCAGGAGGGTGAAAATTTACTTTGTATCTGTGAAGTTAATCCTGTTGTTAAGTAGGAAGCCGTAAAACGGTTGGTGAGTGGTCTTACAGGAAGGCTCTCCTTACAGACTTTTTAGTGGTTTTGCATATATTTACTTTATTTATTATGGTCATTATGGTTATTATTGCATTGGACAGGTGGAGCTCTCATCTACATCTTACATCTCCCAGGTTCTTAGCTGCTGTGCTAAAAAGAAATCTGTTTACAGAGCTCAATAGCTCAAGCTGAAATTTACACACAAAGTAAGAGCAGTGACGTTGCCTCCTTTCTTCCCCTCCATCCTGCTCCACCTTAGGTTTCAATCAAAGATGACCTGCAAGGGGACAGCTAGAGAGCCTATCCTCCAGTTACAGCTCTGGGCACTAGCTCAGGGCCCATTGTTGGCTTTACAAATCGGTAAGAGAGAGGCACTGTGAATATGTAATGACCCTCTATGCTGCATCGAGCCATATTTTGGTCAAATAAACAAATATAAACATAGCAGTATATACTAGGACATAGAAAAGCTTTATTTTGAAAAGTTATATTGAGACTTCCAAGAATAACATTATAATTTAGAAATAACTGGTTAAAGCCAATACAGATTATGTACATAAGTAGTTTTCTGGGAGTTAAAGCCAATGATTATTTCGGATCAATACGGTTTATCAGGTAGAAGGGTGTAGTAAAGCTTTATTAGTGATATTTTATCCAAGCCGCTGTTGATCAGGGACAAAGTAACTGTACTAACCCCTATAGGAATAATCTACAAATGAGTAATGGAAATATGGTACAGAACAAATATAAAATGTGAGCTCATAAAATACACATTAGATAAATCAACATGGCAAATACCAGCAATACCAAATCATTCAGAATAAAAAGTACCCCTTTCTTTTCATGAATAAAACCAAATAATCACCAAAAAGGCAACTCATTGGCTCATGTTGGGCAGGGGCCACAGGTGTGCCAGACTGTACCAGGTTGCAGCATCCATTGTAAGTGGTTTTATCAGCATTGAAATAGCTTCAAAACCTTTTGACTTTTATATCACTGTAAGCAGGAAGAAGTGCCTGCAAATATAATAAATAGATATTACTGCCGAGCGCTATCATGCATGCATAAATACACATTAGACATAGCCACAGTGTGTGGCTAAACATTAATGAATATTGATGATGATGATAATAATTATATTATGTACATGTATTACAATACAAACAGTACAATAATTACTGTGAATACTATATATTAAAGTAAACGGTCCCCATGCAGATCATGTAGATATGTATATCTATGAAAACATGAAATTATCACAATGGTTTGCCTCAGATATTTGATGGTGACATCATTTTATTGCAGCTCTAATCTGGTTTTATGATATTATGCAAGAACGTGACTTAAAGCTATGAGGACATTTATGTACCTATAAATAATTTTTAGGAGCTCATATCATTTTTGAGGTTATTGCTGTGTGTAATTTATAATATACCGAAAGCTATAAGAGTAAGAATAAATCTCCATATAAAATACAGCCAGGAAAATATAGAAAAGTAAGCAAGTAAAAAAGGTGAAAGTCATGTCAGATGTAACCTTTAAAACAATGTTACAAAACTCACCAAGCACGCACATGGAAAATACATTATGCATTGACTTTAAGGACCCTGTTAGATTTTTAAAAATGCACGGAGAAGCACAAGAAAATCAAGTATTTTAAATGCTTACTGTAAGTGTTTTTCCTTTTCATAAATTATTTTTCATTTACCTGCAATGTGCTCTTGAACGTTCTAGAAAACTGACTACTACAGAAAGAGTCAATTTCCTAGGCTAGCACTGCCCCCTTCCTCCTTGCATGCCATAGCTCTTTCCTCTATCTTCTGGGGAGTGTCTAAGTACTTTCTGTGCTGGCGCAGCTCCTCTGCCTGTCCTCTCTTGGGGGGAAACAAAAAGGAATACTATAGTGTGTCACTTTAGGTGACAGCTCCAAGTTTGCTGGGGCTGCTGACGTCACATCAAAGATGGCGGCGCCCCGCAGAAGTCTCAGGGCTATTAGATGCCTACACAAAGGAAGGCTTTACAGGTACATAACATGAACTACATTCAATGCACATTTAATTTTAGGAAGATTTTTTTGTTGAATGGTCTGATAACACTGTCTCCTTAGCAAAATGCCTTTTTTAACCCATGAATAAAAACATGACATGTCACAATATGCAGCAACACCATAAAAAGGTAAACTTTTATTACTGAAAAGAAGACATTCATCGCCTGAGGTTTAGAGGTTGTTTTTAAGAGAAGCCTTAGTGTCCTCTCCACCACTGATCAGTCACTAGCACTGTACATTGTAACATCCTGGCAGCTCACAAGGTGACTGAGAGCAGCAGGAAGAAGGAGCTTAGACACAGGGCCGGTGCAAAGATTTTTGCCTACACAGGCGAAGGTTTTTGCGCCCCTGCAGTAATAGAGTTACAATTATCCCCTGCTAACATGAATGGGTTAAATGATCCATAGTACAACTCGACCCGGGCGGCACCTCTGGCAGTCGCCGGCCAGCTAAATTAGGACCCCACCTGGAGCTCCTCCCACCGGACCAGCGCTGAATCGCCGCTGCTCTCCCGCACAGCTGACTACAACCTCACCAGCGAGGCACCTTCATCGAGCAGTAAGTGAGGGCAGGGGGGGTCCCTAATAAGAACTAATAAGTATTAGCAGGTGATAATTGTACAATTATCCTCTGCTAATATGAATGGATTAAATGATCCATAGTACATAATATGTACATAACTTGTAGTTGTACCATGGATCTTTTAACCCATTCATGTTAGCTGAGGATAATTGTAAATCTATTGCCTGCAGTGTATGCTCTATATGTAGTACATAGTACATGTACGTTACACACGTCCACTGCACTACAGCAATAGATTTACAATTATCCCCCTGCTAACATGAATAGGTTAAAAGATCCATAGTACATAACATGTAGTTGTACTATGGATCATTTAACCCATTCATGTTAGCAGGGGATAATTGTAACTCTAGCAGGGGATAATTGTAACTCTACAAAACATAGCGCAAGCATCGGGGCATTTTGACAAGTACAAGTACTTGTCAAAATGCCCTGTTTTTTCCGCCCTCACCCTGCAGCGCCCTCAGGCGGCTGCTTGACTTGCCTTGCGGTAGCGCCGGGCCTGCTTAGACAGCATACACAGTCCAGCGTTTCTCAATCTTTTTACAGTCACGCACACCTTTAAGTATGCAAAATCTCCAGGCACCCCAGTCTTAAACGTTAAAAAACCTAATGTATTAAAAAAAAAAAAGTGTGGGACCCCCACCATACCAAACCCTTATCCTAGATAGGAGTCTGGTATGGATTTTTAGGCACCATTCACACCAAGGCAGATTCGTTTTTGCACGTTTGTAAATGAGGGCTCAGCGTTCTTTTTTTTGCACATTTATGCGTGTTTGGCACATGTACTAAAGCAGAGACACCGGCACTCCAAATTTGCAAAATACGTCTATTTATTGACGTGCATCGTGGTAAAAAACAACAAATGTTTCGGGGTCACAAAGGATCCCCTTCATCAGGTAAAACAGTGTGTAAAACATATGTTGTATGTTGTACACAGTGTGTAAAACATATGTTGTATTGAGAATCTTAGTAAATCTAAGATCTTAGACGGCTTAAAGAATATCAGATTGTCTTCTACATTCTGCACCGAGGTTCGGTCGATGTTAAATTTTAGCCAGAGTTTTGTTGGCCGCAGTGGCGGGCAGAAGGGCTCTGTGGCTCAGACCGTGGGTGGCAGATCCCACATCCAAGCAGGGATGTTGTAATTCCATTTGGGGGTTATTTGCTACTCTGCAACAAACTAGACATCACAACAGCTAAGGCCACTGGAGGTAAGGCATACGGGGCAGTCTCTCTTCCCCAGAAGAGGTTCCGGGCACAAAGCTCTATCGTACCTTCTACTGTTAGTGTCTCATTGTCTTCAGATTGTCGGGTCCATGATGTCAATGATTCCTGCAGCCCAGTGGGCCCAATGGCGAACTTGTTTCTTTCAGACCGGGTTCTTGCGGCAGTGGAAGCCAGAAAGTCTCGACCACCTCATTTGGATCTCTCCCCAATGCGGAGCAGCCTGGGGTGGTGGTTCATGGACTGCAACTGACTAGGCTGTCAGTCTCTCCTCCTTACCACGTGGACCGTGAATTCCTCAGATGCAAGAGAATGGGGTTGGGGTGCCGTCTGTCTGAGCGAGGGTGCTCAGGGTCACTGGTCCTTTCCTGTAGTGGGGGTTTGTCTCCAATGTCCTCGAGCTGAAGGCATTGTTTCAGGCGCTATTGGCCTTCCAGCGATTTATCCTGGGGAAGTCAGTTTTGATGAAAATCGACAATACCTCAGCGATGGCTTGTATCAGGAGACAAGGGGGTGCACGCAGTCGTGCCCTGCTGGAAGAAGTCTCTCCTATTATTACCTGGGCTCAGATCCATCTTCACTTATTGGCAGTGTACCTGTCGGGTCCCCTCAATCACCAAGCAGATTATCTATCCAG